TATACTTTCAATCGAACATTGCTCTCAAATCTATACTTTCAATCGAACATTGCTCTCAAATCTATACTTTCAATCGAACATTGCTCTCAAATCTATACTTTCAATCGAACATTGCTCTCAAATCTATACTTTCAATCGAACATTGCTCTCAAATCTATACTTTCAATCGAACATTGCTCTCAAATCTATACTTTCAATCGAACATTGCTCTCAAATCTATACTTTCAATCGAACATTGCTCTCAAATCTATACTTTCAATNAACATCTTGGGGGGCAAAATTTACACTGTAAATTTATAACATTTGGCTTCTTGGATATCAGGCAAAGTATAAGATACTTTAATGGTACACATGCATGTACTTATACTTTATCTCTCCTTCAAACAAAACTAGCAGAAAAAAACATTGTTTCTAAAAAATCGACTTTATTACACTGTTGTGTTAGTGATAATTAGTATTTAAACTAGAAATAGTAAAAGACATTTTTGAAAATGAAAATCCTGACTTAAACTTAAATTCTTTGAGATGAAAAAAGGACAAAGGTCCAGAAAATGATTATGACTTGTAAAAGTTTCTGTTTTCAAAAAAAGTATGAGTACAATTGTAATCTATGCCATAAAGCTCTTCGTTCATTTATATGTTTGATATGGCTTGCCAAACGGCTGAAACAAATGGGCTGAATTTTAGTAAGGAAACTCATGGATACCCGTGGGGATGACATAAGCTAAATAAATTATAAGTTTTTTGCTTTGATTCGATTTTTAAATTCCACGGACAACGCCTGGCACTTCAGCTAGTTTGTAATAGAAAGAAAGATTACAAAACAGCGGTGCAATGAATGAATTTAATTAAATCCAAATGAAAAAAACAAAAAATGGTCTTTTACTACCTCCAAACTCATTCGAACTTCTGTCATGGTGGCTCTGGTCCACTAATACAATCTTCTTAGTGCACTGAATGAACAGCAAACTATTTTTTCATGTTCTTCACTCTTGAGTTTAAGATTTGAAAAGTGTGAAAGCTCTGAGTTCTAGGAGTGGGGCTACGCCCGATCCTTTACAGGTCTGGGGGGCACTGCCCCTCCTGTATACGCCCTTGAAAATTATAAACCTTCATAGAACAAGATTGTTTAGAAATTGATTAATTAGGCCAAGGTGTGAGTAGATAATAAATGATTTCTAATAATTTACGTATCATTGTTTAGTCTTAAAAGGCTCCCGGTAGGGAGTGGAGAGGGACGTAGAGACTAGGGAGGGTGCGCCCGGCCCCGTGGTGGGGTGAGATTGAGAGGGGACAGGCCTTCTTTATTTTTGCTAAAAACGCCCTTATTTTTCATTTTAAAACTATTATGCTTGAAACTTTTTTACCTTAAATTAAAAAAGGACTTTTTTTGTAAAAAAAGCAGATTAGTGGGAAGATCATTGGTACTTAAAAAATCTAAAATAACCCTTAAATTTATTTAATTAATTTTATCATGAATCTTAATCTTTGTTGCAACTTATGATACATATCCATTGAATGGTCTACAGTCTGTATAGTAGACTTTATCTACAGATAAAATATTTACAAAGTTTGTATTTTTTAAAAAGCAAAGATCTTATTATCATGTCTCACTTAAATGAAAATAAATATCTGTCATCCAAGGTATAAAATATTTGCTTAAACATCATGAGAAAGTCAGAGTTTGTAGCAAAGACTCAATTACTTTATACAAATAAAAAAGGAAAAATTATTTTTTTAAAAATTAATTGCAACTTTTTAGCATTAGCTTAGCACTTGAAATTATAGCTTACAAAAATCAGCAAACAAGATTTTTATCATATTTAACTTTTAAATTATTTATTACATTTTCTTTTTAGTTTTTATTTAGATTAGTGTAAACAAACCTTAAAATAGAAAATTTTAGCAAAATGGATTTTACTGAATTTGGAGTGAAATATTTTTTTTAAAGAAGAGGACGATCACAAAAATGTATGGACCTAGTTTTAAACCTAAACCAAAACCAAACATGATCATAACATCTTTTTCTTTCATTATTGAATCAGGGTTTCCCATGTACCAATTAAACATGTCACTTTGTTTTGACAGGTTTGCCATAGTTTCTATTTTCTAATCTATGACTTATTGAAGTTTGGAGAACGGTCAAAATTCTTGAAAATTATCGCATAATTCAGATTTTTAAAATAAGAAATTTTTCCTTTGTTCTTTTTGTCCATTCGTGTTTTTTTACAATTTATAATTACTTTCAATTGATTTTACTTGATAGCGTAATTACCCTCTATGCAAAGATGACAATGCCCGATTTACAATGGAAAAAGGTTTTAAACCTTTTATCTGATCAAAATCTGAAAGAAACCGTCGTTTTCCTGACTCAAAAAGTTTTAATTCTCATAATTTCTCCGTTGCTTATTTTGAGCAAGAAATGTGCAAGTCGTTTTTGCAGAGAAACAGCAAATGAAAATAGCAGTTTAAAGAATGAAAAAAATCTAATTCATACTTGATCAGACAATCTTATATATCGGACCTTGTCATCCTTGGATGGAGAGTTACTTGAAATTACACTTATACAGTTCCATTAAACGGCAAATTTAAATATGTTCCAAGCTTTTAACATTCACTAAAATAATCCAAAGCAAAAAAATAAAAAGAAACATATTTACAATATTTCCCAAATATACTTGAATACCTAAAACTCGATATTGATTTCTGATAAACTAAAAATTCAACTAATGTTGAGAAACCGGACACTGGCAGGATAAAATCACGATACCATTACAGAAAGTGGGTGCAGAATAATTATGCTCTTAAAGAGAAAGGTTGCAAAATTTGAATATCCTTAAATGGTACAATCAATGGGCAATCCAATCTTTAAACGTACGGTAATTTTTAAAAAATTACTACATTCCGACCCTTTAAATAAAGGTAACTGACATGGTTTTTATTAAGTATGTCCGCAGATATATGTCAGTAACAGTTGGAGTTTATTTGCAATTACTGAGAAAGATGAATTGATCTGGGTCCGGGAATAGAACGATGAGACGGTTTTTGCTCCGGCTCAGGGAAAAACTAGGGATCAAGCTCCAGGATAGGGAAAACTAGAGATTTAGATTAAGAATAAAGTAAACTAGGATCCAAACGAAAACTAGGGATCCAGATCCAGGATAGGAAAAACAGGGATCCAGGATAAAGAAAACTAGGGATCCAGATCCAGGATAGGGAAAACCACGCAATCCAGATCCAGGATAGGGAAAAACTTGGAATCAGCTCCAGGATAAGGAAAACTAGGGATCCAGATCCAGGATAGGGAAAACTAGGGATCCAGATCCAGGATAGGGTAACTATGGACCCAGATCCAGGATAGGATAACTAGGGATCTTGGAGCAGAAATAGAAGGCTTATAAAACAAGATTTATAAGTTAATTGAATTAGCTTTGAGTCTAGAAGAGGTTGTTTTACATGATGAATAAATAGATTAAACAGATGATAAATTAATCATGTTTTTTCTTATGTTTTTTCACCATGGTTAAATTTTTAAAGGTTTCAGACCTTAAGTCCTGTTCCTAATTGTAAAAAATTATTTCTTTCCGTTAAACATTTTTTTACGTAACAATTGAAAATAATTATAACTATTATTATGCTAGCTCTACTACATGTCTGAGGGGTTTCTTTGAGTTAATTGGAAATTAAATACATGTTTGCATTGCTGGCTTAATGGAATTCTTTTTATTACTCTGTCAAAGAAAGGAATAAGGAGGAAAGTGCACTTAGATGCATTTATGATGTATGTTTTTAAAACTAAAATCAATGTAGGAGGAGCTGTAATATGTCAAAATAGTCACTACAAATATTTTGATTAGAAAACTCAAAATATACCATTCAAGAAAATAAAAATAGTTCAACATCTGATAGAAATGAAGCTCATACAAAGAAACATACTTTAAAGAAAAGAAATGATATTTTAACATCTATGGAATAGAATTATGTCACTTATGTAGATTTGAGTTAAACTATATAAATAAATCTATTGCTGAAAAATGTTCATTTTCGCTACTGCAGGGAAAGAAGCATTAAAANCCTTCATAAAGAGCCAAGAGACAATTCCTGGCAAGTCCTGGCAAGTCCTAACTGGCATTACCATTATGATCGTCCTTGAACATAAAGACCGGAAAGTAAATTTGTATAAAATCAACATGATTAAGATGTGTATTAAAAATCAAATATATTCTTAACAAGAATTTTTGAAACCTTTAATATTTTCTAGTTAATATATATTCTTATTAATTTTGTTTTGAACAAAGTTTTTTGCATTGTCGTTAAAATAATCAAATAAATGTGCGTGTACAGTAGCGAATCCTGGTGGTGTTTTTTTTAAGCTTAAAATCTTTGATCCCGCTTGCCACTAGAGGCCGATAAAAAATAATGGAAACCGGTCTTGTCCCACCTAGCTTGCCTGCGCGGTACACTGCAGGGGCCAGTGGTTGTCAAGTATAAAACAAAAATGGCTGCCCAAATTTGTTCTACTTTGTAAACTCAATGAAAACCATAATTATTACGTAAATTTTAGAGTGAATGTGATAATTTAAAGTGATAGAAATAAATATGGGACAGTTTTCTGAACAGTGCATACATGTTTTATGGATTAAATGCGAATATGAGGTCCACGTCCAACTTTTTATTATTTATTCTATTATTTTAGGGAGGGAGATTGGGTTAAGACAATTTCTGGGAATAGCGCTGCGACTAGGACAGGCTATGGGGGCCAAGCGCTATGCGGCTAGGACAGGCTAGGGGACGAGCGCTGCGGCCACATGACCAATAATATCTATGGGATACTTATTAGATCAATGCACAAAATTTATAGGAGGGGGGGAGGGAGGTCCAAAAATCGTATACTAGAAAATTACCTTAATTTTATCATTTAGAATCTGGATTTCATATTTTAACCCATGGGCAAAGATAGTTTTGTGGCTGCAGCGCCCTCTCCCACTAATCTATCCTTGCTTCGGCGCTCGGCGCCTACCCTCTCCTAGCCGCAGTGCTTGGCCCCCTAGCCTAGATCATAGCCGCAGTGTTCGGCCTACAAATTATCTTAACCTTACCATGAAATAATTAAATTTTGTATTAAACTAACCCTGAATGAAAGAACATAAACTAGTAAATTCATGTTGAATATTAAAAGATATTTTATTTGTAAATTCATAATCTTCAATTTCAGATAAAAATCACTTAATATGCTGAAGGAAAAGATAAAAATAGGTCTTAAGTACGCCCGAACAATCTCAGCTTTTGAAGGTAAGGGCTCTTTTTTCGATTACAAAAATGTGCACGATTTTGATATTTTTGTTATTTACACATATCCATAAACAGAAACATGTATTTAAAAAAAGCTTGATTTAAAGAAGTATAGAATAAATATAAACTTTACTCCTTTTCTCAGTCCCAACAACCTAATGGATCTTCACGGTTAACTGGTTTCTAGGGGTGTATATTTCTTAGTTTTTCCACAGGAAAAAGAATAAAAATGTCTATTTAGATCACTTTAACTTTTTTAACTACCTGGAAAAGTTTTATTTGAAAAAAATGAGTAATTATCATTTAATGGTTTAAGAACAGGGCAACGGAATCCCCCATCCCATTTTGCCACTTAAGATTGTTTAGATGCTAATTTGCTAAATTTTTCCACTAAATTTTTTTATATTTGCAGATATGATTAAGCACAACGGATTGAAAGCTGTAATTTCAAGCTCTTCAAATACAGTAGATGTGAATTGGTTAAAAAGAATCAGTAAGTATACTTTTTTCAAATTAAAAATGGCATGAAATAATTTCTAACATTCTTTCTTGTTTTTTAGAATGGAATTTGCAATTTCAAGTTACCCTCCATTTGAAGAGTGGCATGTGGGATTTACAACTGCAGTACCCTTTTAAAAGCTTTATATGATGAAGGATAAATAAGATATCTGCTTTTACCTCCTTGAAAATTAATTGGTTTTAATTGCGATTTTTCTACAAAAGTAACTTACGCACTTCTAATACAGAAATAATTGAGAAAATGATCAGCATTAAACCCTTCTCAACTCTCCAGTTATAAAAACGATTATATCTTTAAAACTTTTGCTAAGATAAAGGGTTGAATGGTTTTGTTGTGAATCTCTACATGGAGGGTCACTTTAAATTACGACAGTTCCTTTAAAGAGTGTATTTTTATTTTGGAATCAAATTTGAATCTCAATTCAATATTTTCTTTTTCGGGAATTCTTTAACCTCGAGAGCATTTTTTAAAAACTAATTTTAATCTGTAGACAGTTAAATCTTACGTTTAAGTTTCAGAAGTTAAATCTAAGTACAAACCTTGAAACGTAAACTCTTTTTTTAAATAAATTTTCTAAATTAGGTTCATATACTTATTTATATAGGTAAATTCGGATGAGGTAGCCGATATTACAGGGGT